TATAAATTAACTGGCTTCAATCGTGAGTTTTGGATAGACATGTTCTCCACTCATGACCATAACTGCCCAGTGTTCTTACCTCCAGACTATAAGGACTGTCTCTACATTGAAGCACAACTCTTAAACTCTACCATCGCAGTATTGTAAAATCTACGCTAGTTTTATTTTTATCACGAATGACCTCATTCATGACCTCATTGCTGACAAAAATAAATGACCTCAGAACTTCAACTTACGAATAAAGCTTGTTTTAGTCGTTATTGAGAAGTTAAACTTTTCAGCAAAGCAAGGACTAGAAGACTTACATAAGTCAAATCCAATCTCTTGACCATCATGAAGTGCTTTGTAAAGTTTCATTAAACTGAACTCAGAGTCTTTGTCATATGTTCCAACAGGTATGTGAATGTTCTTATCTTCATTGTAATAGCATTGTATAGCTTCAGGAAACATTTCATTTGCTGTTAAAGCAAGACGTCTTGTTTGACACCTTTACAACGTGCATGGAATGCAACTTCATTTAAATCATTCGTGAGTAAGTCTATGTAAGTCTTCTTTCCACAAATATTGACTTGTATGCTAAACTTTGTTTTCCAGGTGTTATTTCTGCGAAGTCAGAATGGAACTGACCAAGGTTCTTTCCTATACGGACCGTATCTCTTTTAAATCTGCTGCAAGCTTTGGTATGTCTTCATTGAAAATATGCATGCTATCACAGTCCTGGTAAAATATTTGAAGACCCATATCTCAGCAGTACAGAATACTTCGTTCATTATTCTCTTCGACATTGACAGAATATTAACACCAAGTGGACAGAAGTTAAAGTGTCTGCAAATGCTTTTTCGTTAGCTTGAAAATAGTTTTATCTGAACCATCCAAACTTCGAACTTCACTATATGGTTGTAGTTTCTGATGGCATATCTTATAGCATCTTTGTCATTTACTATGGTTATTTTTGACTCAATAGGAGATATAATATTTTGCCATAAATACTGTTCAGAATGAGCTTATATTTTCTTGCAAAGGATTTCCTTCTTTCTTATACTTTAACCTTAACTCAAACAACTTCTTTAACTTCATCTCTTATTCTAATATCTCTGTTTCCATCGTAATAGTATCCTTGCAACACTTCACATTTGACACCTTGATATTTTATGAGGTCTTGTAATGTTATATGGTCAACATACATTAAACAGCAAGTGTTTGAACTTCTGGGAACGTTAAGTTCTGGATTTAGTTCAGGGTCACAAACTATTAAAGGAAAGTGTCTATGTATTCCAATCTCTGTTATCTTAATGAGAACAAAGAAGCCAGACATAAACTTTTCACCAATGGGTTCCTTTTGGTCGTCATCGAATAAATGTCTCATGAATACTGCTGTGCTTAACATTTCTTTCTTCAATACTTTCGGTATACCTTCTAAAGTATAAAGTCTTGCTATAGCTGATGATAAATGAAACAGCGTCGAAGTCAGCAATGAGTTTCTTTTCGCTCTTTTGTTTCATGTTATCTGACAGCATACATCTTCCACCTTGAATACAGCGTGAAATAAATTCTTTGGTTTATTTTGAGAGGTCATATAAATTTCCATTCGGGAAGTACACTCTGTTCTCAAACAATTTGTTAGCAATAGAACAAATACTAACGTAGTCATAAACGTTTAAATCAAATTCTTTCATATTGTCATTGCGGAACTTAACAAAAACCTTCTCTTAAAATCTTACATCTTGTTTGCAATAAAATGTGCTATACTTTTCTAAGTCGAAGGTGGTTCTCATCTATTCTGCAACCTTTGATGGAATCTATGTTTTTCATGAATGTATCTGCATCCGGAATAAACTTACATGCTTCAGAAATGACACCAAGTTCTGTTGTCATTTGCTAACAAATGTACTGCTGTAGTAGTTGTAGGAAATACTTCTTTCAGTCCTGTTTGTAAGTTAAACATAGCAGGAAATAGTTTAAGCTTCTTATTTATAACACTGTAAAGTCTTTTATAATAATTGCCTTTGG